TTTACATACAGGTTTCTCAAATAAACAAATAAATAGATAAATAAAAGTAAGTAAGTTAGTTTAAAACTACCATCTGATCCAGCAATACCACTTCTGGGCATACACCCAAAGGACTCTATACCCTCCGAGAAAGATGTTTGCTCACCTATGTTCATTGTGGGTCACAACAACTAGGAAATGGAAATGAACCTAGATATACATACATGACAGGATATTATTCAACTATGACAAAAAAATAATGAAATTTTCAAGTAAAGAGATAGAGCTGGAAAATATTATATTGAGCAAGGTCACACAGATCCTGAAAAACAAATAGCACATTTTCTCTCTTACATGTGGAGCCTCACATCAAAACTTTGGGGGAGAGTGGGGATATGCTTATCTTGGAGTAGATGTAAAAGCAAGCAAACTAGAGATAGGCCACTGTCGTGCACAGGAGGAAAGGTAAGTTCAGAGAGAGGGGATAACATACTATAGGCAGAATGGAAGTGTAGAGATGGAGTTTGGGAGGTGGGAAGGGTCAAGAAGAGAGGCAGGCTGGGTATCAGGAGACCAGAGGTCAAAGAAAAGATTAATTAAAATGAAGAGTGTACTGTATACCGGGCAGCTGTGATCCCAACACTCAGGAGGCAGAGGCAGGAAGATCTCTGTAAGTTTAAGGCCAATCTAATCTACAAAGTGAGTCCAGGGCAGCCAAGGCTACACATAGAAACCCTGTCTTGAGGGGTAAAAAAAATAAAGAGAAAGCATCTTCAACAAATGGTGCTGGTCTAACTGTATGTCTACATGTAGAAAAATGAAAATAGATCCACACTTATCACCATGCACAAAGCTGAAGTCTAAGTGGATCAAAGACCTCAACATAAAACTAGACACACTAAATCGGTTAGAAGAAAAATGGGGAATACCCTTGAACTCACTGGCACAGGAGACAACTTCCTGAACAGAACACCAACAGCACAGGCTCTAAGAGCAACAATCAATAAATGGGACCTATGAAACTGAAAAGCTTCTGTAAAGCAAAGGACACCATCATCAAAACAAAACGACTGATTACAGATTGGGAAAGAATCTTCACCAACCGTTTATCTGACAGAGGGCTAATATTCAGTATATATAAAGAACTAAAGAAGCTGAAAAACAGCAAACCAAGTAATTCACTTAAAAAATGGGGAACAGAGCTAAACAGAGAATTCTCGACAGAGGAATATCGAATGGCAGAGAAACACTTAAAGAAATGTTCAACGTCATTAGCCATTCAGAAAATGCAAATCAAAACCACCCTGAGATTTCACCTTACACCCATCAGAATGGCCAAGATGAAAAACTCAAGGGACAACACATGCTGGAGAGAATGTGGAAAAAGGGGAACCCTCCTCCACTGCTGGTGGGAATGTAAACTCGTACAACCACTCTGGAAATCAATCTGGCACTTTCTCAGACAACTAGGAATAGTACTTCCTCAAGATCTGGCCATACCACTCCTAGGCATATATCCAAAAGGGGCTCAAGTACACAATAAAGACATTTGCTCAACCATGTTTGTAGCAGCTTTATTTGTAATAGCCAGAAGTTGGAAACAGCCCAGATGCCCCTCAACTGAAGAATGAATGCAGAAATTGTGGTACATCTACATAATGGAGTATTACTCTGCAATGAAAAATAAGGAATCATGAAATTTGCAGGTAAATGGTAGGACTTGGAAAGGATCATCCTGAGTGAGCTGTCCCAGAAGCAGAAAGACACACACTGTATATACTCACTCATATAGACATATAACATAGGATAAACCTACTAAAACCCTGAACATCTAAAGAAACTAATCAAGAGAGCAGACCCTGACTAAAACGCTCAATCCCCATCCCAAAAGGCAAAGAGGATAGGCATCAGAAGAAGAAGAAAACAGGAAACAACCTAGGAACCTGCCACAGAGGGCCTCTGAAAGGCTCTGCCCTGCAGACTATCAAAGCAGACACTGAGACTTAAGGCCAACTGATGGGCAAAGTGCATGGAATCTTAAATAAGAAGTGGGAAATAGTAAGATCTGGAGAGGACAGGAACCCCACAAGGAGAGCAACAGAACCAGAAAATTTGAACACAGGGGTCTCCCCAGGGATTCATATTCCAACCAAGGAACATGCATGGAGATAACCTAGAACCCCTGCACAGATGTAGTCCATGACAGCGTAGTAGCCAAGTGAGTTCCATAGTAATGGGAAGAGGGACTGCCTCTGACATAATCTGATAGGCCTGTTCTTTGATCACCTCCCCCTGAGGGGAGAGCAGCCCTACCAGGCCACAGAAGATGACAATGCAGCCATTCCTGATGGGATCTGATAGACTAAGATCAGAAGGAAGGAGAGCAGGACCTCCCCTATCAGTGGACTTGAGAGGGGCAAGTGAGAAGAAGGGGGAGGGAGGGTGGGGCTGGGAGAGGAGGAGGGAGGGGCTTATGGGGGGATACAAAGTGAATAAACTGTAATTAATAAAAAATTTAAAAAGATTAAAAAATAGTGTGTGTGTATATATATATATATATATATATATATATATATATATATATATATATGCGCTGTATGGAAACCTATGATCTTGCAACTCAAGTAAAAAATACAGTAAGAGGGTATAAGAGAACATATGTGATATGAAAGTACTGGGACAACGGCTTGGAAGAAGGTAATGGGATGGGAGAAAAAGTGATATGGGGAGTGAGCTAGCCAAAACTAAGAATGTATGAGGAAGTCTTATGAAAACACCTTGTTTGTAAGCTACTTAAAATAAGTACATAAAGAGCTTCAACAGAGGTTCCTTAAATGAGTGGGCAGTACTGTTCCTGGAAGGTTATAAAATAAAAATCTCAGCACCAGGAATAGGTTTTCTCCCTCCTAGTTATTGGTCAGAATGTCCCAAAAGTACCCAAGACAACTCGGGCTATTGTAACTGCTCTTGGCTGCCCGCCATAACTAGAATGTAGTATCTTATTGCTGGTGACACCATAACCTTTGCTTACAGGACACAAAGTCAACCTTGAACTGACTAGGAAACTCTTCCTGCTGCCTTGCTTATCCCACTGGACTTCGCATGCTCTAAGACTGATCTCCCAGGAAAGATGTGTTCACTAGTGCAATGGTGGCATGACGAATACGGGGTTATAAAGGACCTGAGTGAATGTGTGTTACTGACATTAGCACGGCCATGTCAAGGACCTCAGTGCCTCAGCCCCTTGAGAGGACCAAAGCCTTGGCAATGCAAGGCTCAGAGCAATGGTAAAGCCTTCCTCAGGTCTAAGTGCAAATGTTGACGGTATATGCAGAAAATATGCACTGCAGCTTTCTGCCCGCTTCAGATGTTCACGACTGAAACCTGCTCCCCTGTAGAGACTGCCCCACCCAGCTAAGCTAAACGTGCCTTCTTATTCAGCTGCATGGCCCTGCTTCCCTGTTCTGTTGTATGCAATAAGTCTGCCTACCTGTCCTCCTGTAAATAATAAATGCACGGGGCTTCTGGGGTGTTGCAGCTTCTCCATCAGAGAGCCAAGTCCACCTGATCTCAGCTTTTCTACGTACATCCATCTGTCTTATTTCCCTCATTGCCCTAGTCAGTTCACAACTGATCTTTTCCAAATGCAGTATTCATTTGTCCTTTATAGTTTTGTTTTACATTTACCTGTTTTCTGAGTGAATGTGTGCAGATGGTAAATGTGCCACAGCACAAACATGAAGTTGTCAAGAACAACTTTTCTACTATCATATGAGTTCTGGCAATCAAACTCAAGTCATCAGGTTTGGTAACTGTCATCTTTAACCACCTTACTTTTTCATTGCTAGCTACATGACCTCTGCCCAGTACATAATCATTTAATATTATGAGGTCACCATTTCCTCTTAGTAAAAGCTCAAAAAATTACTATCAATTAGCCTCTCAGAGCCAAAGCTTAGACAAAACTTTCCTATAAAATGAAAATAATCATATCCATCTATTAAAACTACTTTTAAAACAGCTCTTTCAAGCTAGGAATGCAGCTCAGTGGCAGAATGCTTGACTGGCATGTGTCGGGCATTAGTGGGTTCAATTCCTACAAACACCAAAAAAAAAGTCTTAGGGGGGATGGGGAGCTGAGACTAAAGAGCACATATCAACCCTTGTCCTTCTAAATAAACAATATTGACATATCAGACCACCATTTCTTGCTCAGGTCAACCAGGTAATTAAGAAGGAAGATAGGCAAGTTCAAAGCCATCTTGGTCTACATACTAAGTACCAGGCTTTGTAGGGCCACAGAGTGAGACTATGTCTCAAAGACCAAAAAAATAAAATCAAAACTGCAATGCTTTCTAAAAGCCTTAGTATTACTGATATCTGCTTAATATATATCCAAGTAATGAAATATATGGCAGAGTAAAAGGGTATAAGACAACACTAATTTGAAAGCTAAATGATAATAACCAGTTTTTAAAACTCAAAAGTCTGAAATAAAAAGCAAACTAAGGTCCACTACCACTGCTACTCCATTTATATCAATGAAACATTAAGCTACTAGTGAACACTCTTCCTAGAAAGGAAAAAAAAGTTATGAGACAAGGAAATAGGTCAGTGTAATACGCTTACCTACCATACACGATACCCTGGATTTAATTCTCCAGCAGGCAGAGAGAAGCAATGAAAAAACAGAGGGAAGGAAAGGAAAAGGGACCATGAAAAGGTAGGGAAGAGAAGAAATGAAGAGAAGAAACAGAGAGATGAGAAAAAACTCTTGGTGAGGCCCAGTGGCACACACCTAAAGTGCCTGCATTCAGAAGACTTCGATTAGTCTGAGGCCATCTGGGGCTGCTCAGAGATGCCTTACCTCAAAAGACAAAACAGAAATGTCCTAATTTACAGGCATCCTCGCAAAGTGCTCAAATCACTGCAGATGTATAGTTCAGAAGGGAATGAAGTGAAAAATAAGATACTTCTTGGAGAAAAGTTTAAGCCCTCGATAGAGGGCAACTTCTTCCTACCATAGGAAGGAGACTCCCGCCCGTCTTCTTTATCTGAGTCTTTATCTTTTCTTCTCCGGTGGTGATGTTTGTGGCCTCGATGCTTGTGACGCCGACGACTCTCTTTACTAAATGGTACATGAACACCAACATACACAGCTCGATGACCTAGTAAAAGTTTTGAAAGAATATTACTGGTTTAACCAAAGTGAAAGTATGGCATGCAAGAAAGTATATCACACTTTACTCTAGAAACAAAGAATAACGCTAAGCTCAAAGACAATAATGGCAGTCTTCAACAATTTATTTTATAAAGTGCCACAATGTTACCGTAGAGCATTGCACTACTAACTGATAATTAAGCTAGCCACGGAGATTACAAGTGGAAACATCAGTCAGTCATCTAAACTCAATCAGCAAATGCTAGGTATACCATACAACAGAGGGATAAATTATTTTACCTTAAAAAAGAGTGGTGACACATTTACACAATCCTCAGGAAGTTAAGGCAGGAAGATTGAGAGTTCATTGTTAGCCTAGGCTTTAAAGAGATAAGAAACAGGCAAACAAAACAAAACAATGTACTTATAAAAAATACAAGCAAAAGTATATAAATGTTTAAGTATACACATATAAACACACATATACACACTTATTCTATGTACATTCATGGCCAATTCAATTTAGTAGACATCCTTAATATATGTCTTAAGGGTTATTAAGTACCTCATATATCATAACATACTAATATTTAAATAAATGTATATTACTAAATTTTCATTGTTTCAGAGATTTTTTTGTTATTTGAATCAGAACAAGATTCAAATACAAATGAATGAATGAATGAATGAATGAATGAATGAGTGAATGAATGAACTAAAAATGCCAATTAGGGCTGAAAAGATGATTCAGTGGTCATGAACACTTCTTTTCTTCCATAGTTTCCAGGTTTATTTTCAGCACCTACATGGCAGCTCACATTCCAGTTCTGGGGGATTCAAAATACCTTCTGACCTCTGTACACACCAGTATGCACATGATGCACACACATACATAAAGGTAAAACACATAAAGAACTAAATACATCAAGATAGATGGATGGATGGATGGATGGATGGATGGATGGATGGATGGACGGACGGATGGATGGGAGCAGGTAAGATGGGAAAATATCACCCTTTGTGTCTTACCATCCAAAGAAATCGAAAGGTAGTCTCTACTTTGTCCACTGAATATTGCTCACACAGAGACAACACTGTGTTCACTACTGAGAGCCAACAACCTAATTTCTTCAAATACTTCATTATTCAAATTGTATTCTTTTGTGGAATACAGAGAGATGTGGACCACAAATTCAAAATATAGGCACTCATGGGAAAAAACAGTTGATTTTTGCCTTTCTATATAAAATAAACAATATGCTGAAATATTAGGCTAATTTTAATACTCTTTTCATAAAAAATTTCCTAAGATGGTCAGTAAATAAATACATCAAGAACTTCTTTATCCTTAAATGAGATTTTCTGTTCTCATTTTAGCTTTGAGACAGGGTCTTGCTAGGCTAGCAGTGAACTCAAGAGTTCTCCTGCCTCTGCCTGCCAGATGACATTTAAAGGTGCACTTGATCCTTATCAACTACATTTGATCATAATCATTTGTCTATTCCCTACTTACAAATCTGTTAATTCAGTAAAATTTTGTTTTAAATTCCAAATGAATACTGTTTCATGTGTCAGCTGCCAAAACATTAGTGTCAATCAAGTAAATAAAGGTGGACAGCCATCATCCCAGCACCTGGGAGGCTGAAACAGAACTGTAAATTCAAGGTATATTAGCTGCTTTTCTCATGTTACCTGTTCTGTTTTGTTTTGTTTGTTTTGGAGAGGGGAGGTTCTTTGATACAGAGTTTCTCTGTGTAGCCATGGCTGTCCTGGAACTCGCTCTATAAACCAGGCTGGCCTGGAACTCACAGAGATCCACCTGCCTCTGCCTCTGAGTGCTGGGATTAAAGGCATGAGACCACCACCTTTCATGTTACTCTTCTGGATGCTGAGGCCAGATACATGATCAACAACTTTTTAAAAAGGAGGATTTATTTCAGCTTAGTTTGAGGGGATATATTAAATTCAGTAAGGTAAGACACCAGACACAGGAGGCTCTGGCTCATGTCTTGGCAGCTCAGGAATCATAGAAAGAAAATTTCAAAAGCTCTACTAGTGTTCATTTTCCTTGCCACGATGCTGTCTTTCTTTTTTCCCTTTCTTCTAGTCTGGGATCTCAGGCCATGTGATATTACATTAGTGGTAGGGTTTTCTTCAGTTAAAACTCTCTAGAAATACCCTCATAGACATGCCTACAAGTGTATATTCTAAGTGATTTTAAACCTATTCAAGTTGACAATGAAGACCAATCATCAAAACTGGGCTATATAGGAAGTTCTTCAGTAGACTGAGCTACACAGCAAGGCCTTGTCTCAAATAACAAATGCATCAAAAACTAAGCAACTTTAAAAGTAAAAATAACTAGACTTATTAAAATACATTGAAAGTATTTGTTAAAATATTTCCTAGTACCTAAGCACTCTGACTAACATTAACATACTAAGAACTTGATACTCTATAGAAATTCAAACTCAATTATTAGAAAAATTATACCAGAAATCACAAATTTAATACTTAATTATTCAAGGTCTCTTCAAGGATGTCAGGTATGTTTCTGGAACCAAAGTTGTGATGGCTGTATGACAACAGCATGTAAACATTGAATTTAATATTTTTAAATGGCTAACTGTACATGTGAATTATATCTCAATATTATACATAACTATAATTAAACTCAGATTTTACAATTTTATTTTAGTGAAACTGTAACTGAAGAGTCAATTCCCGATAGCTGTGTGCTAAGATTACAATCTGATGACTCCAACTAACACTTGGTGCACCAACCCAAGATAAAACTCAATTCTATGAGTTCATAGCAGAAAGGCTAGAAAAAGTAAGACTATACGAAAACTCACGGATCTGAAGACAGTCTTACTGCTTCTTCTGCTTTTGCTTTTGGTATCCTCTGTTATAATATATTACATGTGGTACTCTAAAGACTTTTAAGTCATTTTTAGTCAGGCATGTTGGCTCATGCAGATATAAGCACAGCACTCAGGAGGCAGAGGCAAAATTTTCAGGATGAAAATACCTTAAAGTGTCTATGAAAACTCTGCCATGAACACCAATTTAGCCAAATGTTCGACATTTAACGCATCAGTAGCACATGATATAACATCCACCGCCATGTTCTACCGAGATGTGTCCTTACTGCTGTGGTATACATTTCATCTTGATCTGCAAACTGTGGACCACTGTACCAAGTACACAGAACCACTCCCTCCTTCTCCACTGTCACTGTCATGACAACTAGGTGAGGATGAGAAACCCACACAGATGAGAGGAGACTAAGGGGACACAGCAACTAAAGGTGCCACACATCTCAGACTGTGTCCACTGGGTCCTTGGAATATGACAAACCTTTAGTAGGATAACCAGTGAATTAAAAAAAAAAAAAAAAAAAAAAACTGTAGTTAGGAAAATGTAAGTAAACCCATTTTTATTATCCAGTGTTAGTTTTTGTAGTTTCACAAATGATATGATTTCACAATTAGTATTTTTAACATGAGATGAGCCTGTGCTCACAGGTGCATACAGAAATGTTTTGCATTATGTATGCTGACATTCTGTAAATCCAAAGCTATTTCCAAAACAAAAGGAAGAAAAAAACTAAAACAATTTCTTTCCATTTAGGAAAAAAAAGGAACTCATTTGCTGCACAATTCTAAGTGGTGGTTACTGTAATACCAACGAAATGAGCAACTGATGACAACGTGTGGCTTGAAATCTGGTACTCCAACCAGCCTACCAAAACTGTGGGAAAGGAACACAATTTGTAATCATTACCTTTCATTTTCCCAAGTAATTGCAACTATCAATGAGGTGGGAAAGGCTTTCCGAAGTCTGTCTATGCAATTCTTCATCAGAGAGTAAATAATCAGGAGATGTCTTCTAGAAAAGTATTCAATAGTCTTCTAAACAAATGCTGACCCCAGAACATTTCCAGAAGCACCAAGTGAAGCTTAAGAAAACGCTGACAAGCATTGCTTGGTCATTTCCCTACATAAGAAATTATTTCCAATAAACTTACTTTCTAGTTCTTCTTTTTCAAACTTGGTGTTCACAGTTGAGCTAGTTTTGCCAAGATCCACAATGGCCTCTTCATCAGGACCCTAAAAACAAAGCACTCTACTTTACTACACACCAATGTACATACAGATATATTATGTCAATTATTTCATAACTGTACATAATTTCAAAAACCCAAAAGCAGATGCTTTCTCACAAAATAAAGTTCTGAAAGTGACTCCATCTTTTTTGTTTGGTTTGGTTGTTTTGTTTGTTTGTTTGTTTGTTTGTTTGAGACAGGGTTTCTCTGTGTAGCCTTGGCTGTCCTAGACTAGCTTTGTAAACCAGGCTGACCTCAAACTCACAGATATCCACCTGCCTCTGCCTCCTTAGTCCTGGGATTAAAGGTGTATATCACCACTGCCTGATAAGACTGTGTCTTTTTTAAATGTGCTTATTGCATTTTTTTTAAATCCATAGTTATAATTCTAATGGTAAGAATGAAAGTGACATAGTGTTGTAAACCAATTTTTTTCAATAGTAAATTTATCTTTAATAAAACCCACCCAGGACCAAAGGAAAACAAAAATCTTATGTGAAAGGAATGCTATCTCATGTGTTACAGTGGAAATGTTTGTTTTGTTTTGACATTTGCTCCAAAATCCTATAGTTAAAGGAAAACAAGTTTTGCAATGGATTATAAGTAAACACAAAACTGTCAAAAATATATACTAGGCTCAGTGTGTAGGACATATTTACTTGTTAGTTAATAAATAGCTAATAAAAGAGGGTTTCATTTCCCTACAAAGGAAAGACAAAGTTGTAACCTCTAGGGAAATTTTGTTCATGATATGAAAATCAACCTTAACCAAGTCTAAGCTTCACAAAGCTCCCTTCCACAACTCTACAAAAACATAGTTCTGTAAACATTTTATTACAAAATATTGTTTTACCATTTTAAGAAAAACTTGTAGTTTACACTTCCTAACAACTTTAATAGACCATTATAATCACCGTCATCACAGTATAAACTTGTTTACACTATTCTTTCAACAGATGCAAATAGGCAGCACATCCCCCATCTCTACAAGTCCAGCTCTGGGTTTGAGCAGTGCCAGGGAGCGTCTGCACAGCCTGTAGCAGTGCTGCCCTGAAGTGTAAGGCTATTCTATATACACACAGTAAATTAACAAGCTGTTTATTAACTTTCCCAAAATTCTCACTATCTAAACTCAGGAACAGGGTTGGTCTGTTTAAATTTTCAAATAAATTTCTTGCTAACTCAACTCTCACTGTCTGATTCTCAAAGTTCAGCACCAGGCATAGAATACCAAAGAAAAACATATTTTCTGCTATCCAGACTTACTTTTTAAAGATAGACACCCAAAGAAAAATTCACACTGAATGGGTAGTGTTCAAGTTAATTCAGAGAAGTTAAATGACTGCTAGAGCTCTACACTTCAACAGATTGTAACAATTCCACACAATAAACTGAGAAAAAAAGATAGTAATTTGTCTGATTAGTCTAAGTTCTCCAAACTTCCTTAATAATAGTCCAAAGTCCTGAAGCAAAATTAGGCACTAAAACAGCTCAAGAGTGAATAACTACAAAATCCCAACAGAACATCTCTCTCATCACTAACTGAAGGAAGCCTCCAGTTAATGGTTAATGTCTAATTGAGTTGTTGGCCAAAGGGAACCCAAGGAAATCTTCAAACAACCCAGGCTACTGCCAAGTTATTAGTTGCTCCTCACAAACTGAGGGCAGGCCCCATTGTTGAAGACAGCACCTACACACCTTACTGAAAAGAAGTTGTTGATCTGGTACCTAACTAGGGCCTTCATCCCTACTAGTAGTGTTTATGGTCCTGAAAGGTACTCTACATCCTACTGGAGAAGAAAGGGAAGACCAACCCTGCTATAAAACCTTTAATTGACAATGGTAACCTGTCTGCAAGATGCACTGGTAAAATAGCGGCACAAAGCTTGTAGGAGTAATCAGCCAAGATCTTTTTTATTTTAAGGACCACCTGATGAGATGGAATGTAACACTGCTTAGGTGGCCGTGAGACAAGATAGGACAAGGATCTATCCAAATACTACTGTTCTGCCGAAGAAACACAGCCAATAAAATGACTCCTAATGATAGTCTGCTATAGTCATAGATCAGTGTCTTGTTCAGCCATGACTGTTCTTGCAGCAGATGGGGACAAATGCAGAGACCCACAGCTGGGCTGTGTGCAGAGCAAGGAACCTCATCTCCACCAATATCCCTTCCTCCCCCTCAGAGCTCAGGAAACCCTGCAGAAGAGGAGGCAAAAAGTGGTTAAGAGCTAGAGGGGGCAGAAGACACCAAGGAAACTAAGTCTTCTAAACACTGCAGGACTGATGCATATACGAATTCACAAAGACTGTGTCATCATGCACAAGGCCTGCATGTGTCTAAGCCAGATGGAGTCCCAGCACTGAAAGGAGGAAGTTGACACAAGCTCCACCCCCAAACCAGTAACTCCAATTAAGTTTTCTCCAATGGAGTCTCTCTGAGAATATAAACCACTCTTATGGGCAGACTCAGACCCAGCCGTAGATGGTCAACACAAAACAATTCAATGATACATTTTGAAGATCTTTGTCTCATAATGCTTTAGCTAGACATTATTTTTTGTTCTTTTTCTCTGTATTCCCTCCTTAACAGTCTTTTGTGAGTGTGTGAGTGTGTGTGTGTGTGTGTGTGTGTGTGTAAGAGACAGAAAGAGATTATGGTTTCTGATGTGTTTTTATGTTACTTCTATGTGTGGATGTGTACATCTCTGTATCCATATGTATTTCTTATGCTTTTTCTTCTGTTTGTTTTATCCTATTGTGGTTTATTTTGTTTTTATCTTATTTTATTTATTTTTTATACCCCTGTTTGTATTCTAATGAGAGAATGAAAGGGTATAGATATGGGTGGTTGGGTGTTGGGAGACAAAAAATGTAATCATAATATGTTGTATGAAAAAAAATCTATTTTTAGTGGGAGAAAAAAACAAAAAAGAATGAGCAACTAATAACCTGCCTCCATTAAACGAGTCATCCTAAAAATTTTAGCTGCCCTTAAATGACTGCAGGCCATTTATGTTCCCAAACATGTGACTGACCATCTCTCCCTTAAACCTAAGAGGTCAAGGCTGTGTCCTGAGAGGCAACATACTGTCCACACTAAAGGGATTAACTGCTCCCATCCAAGCTTTCATTTAGCCTGCACAGCTGCCAGATAAGAAACAAAGCAATACAACTACCTCCTGACCTCAAACAACACAGCTCTACTAATCACTTGTGCTAAAAAGAAAACACCATTTACTTTAGATTTACACTATATTTACTTTGCTACTACTTTACTACTGCACTGAGTTAAAATCCACATACTCTATCTTTTTAAATATTTGTCAGAGAAAAATATTTCCACCCATGCAAAAAGCAGAATCCTCAGATGATGTGGACGGACACCCCTTTCCTGATCTACTCAAGCTGTTCCAAGAGACTACTCGCTACAGTCCTCTTCCATTCTCAATGTAGTGTGTTCTTTGTTTTTTGTTTTGTTTTGTTTTTCTGAGACATGGTCTCATTGGGTAACCCTGTTGGCCTGGAACTCTATATAGACTAGGCTGGTCTTGAACTCAGAAAGACATGCCTGTCTCTGTCTCCTGCACCACACCAGGCCTAGGATTTCCACTTATAAAGAAAAAAGAAAAGAAACAAAACCAAGTCACTTGCAAGAAGGCAATCTTAAACTAAGAAATACAATGAAACAAGGTTTTTGTTTGTGAGGGTGGGGGAACACCTGTAGGATAGGAACATACCTCTGTAGGCAAATGCTTAACTAACATGCACAAGGTTCTGGGTGCCGCACGCGCGCACAAGCACACACATACACACACACAGTGTCAGGGGTGGTAACATCTAAAAACTAGAAGTAGGTTTTAGGGTAGCAAAGACCTCTAATATCAACCAACCCTTGGGAGGCAGATACAGGAGACTCTTCCAAGGACTTTAGGGTACAAACTGGTCAAGACTTCCCTGGGCTACACGAAAGAAAACTACTGAAAGTAGATATAAATACAGAGTTAGGAAGGATCTCAAGAATATATTAATTATTTAGGGAAAACGCAATTTACAGAGGCATAAGTAAAATCACATACATGTTAAAAATCAATTAAGCCAATTTTGTTTCCAAATGTATGTTTCCACGTTTATTTGTATTTAGTAATAAACCAAAGGAGAGGTTTGATGGAATGTGCACCAAACTATTAACTTCTCAGAAAATGTGAAGGAAAACTAAGTTCAAACATCATCTAGTTGCTATTAGAGCAGAACAAAATAATTTCTTTAGTAACCTTATGATAGTTCTGGGGATTTAACCTAGGAGCTTGCATATGTCAGGCAAATGCTCTGGCACAAAATTATAACCATAGCCCTAAAGGGGCACGGTTGGGGAAGAGACAACACTGCTTAACTGTGTAACCCAAACTAGCCTTGAACTAACAACAATCATCAAACACCCACGTGCTGAAAGTAAAGGTATGAATGAGGCACCAAACTGGCTGAAAGTTAAAGCTTTTTAAAATATTACAGACATGGGCTAGGTGTGTGGCTCAGGTACTCATGATTACTGAACATGAACACAGCATTGTACACACTAGGTGCAGTCCCAGCACATGAAAGGTAAAGGCAGGAGAGTCACAAGTTCAAGGGTCATCTGAGGCTACATAGTGAGTTCAAGGACAGCCTGGCCAACATAAACCCTGTCTTCAAAAAGATAAATAAATAAAAATAAAACCTACAGCACTAACTCACCAAACGATGTCAGGAAACAAATATATTTCTCTCGTTCCTAGTGTTTCAACTTTAAGACACGAGTAGTAAAGACAGCATCTGTTGTAACTGCCAGTGTACTATAGGCTATATAAACTGACCATCTGGCTATACGATAAGAAATACAACAAAAATACACAAAGGACATGTGGCCATGGACTTCAGCTCCCGGAGCAAAGGCACTGTGTATCTTCAGGGGGTAATAACTTACCCTAAACGCATGGCTTTTAGATGTGATTGTTTTGGAATAATGCCTTAAAGATGGTAATCTTTAATGCACAGTAAATTAATATTACATGTAAAATCTCATTTTTTATTTTTAAAAGTTGACATAAAATACATGTACATATTAAATGTTTATAAAGTGAAACATGAAATTGTTCACGGAGAACACACTAATGAGCAGAGCCTGGCAGTCCCAACAGCATTTCATTACTTATATAACATAATTTTTATATATTCACATTTTAACATCAATTATTTTTAAAATTTCACATAGAAAAGACCCTATCCACATTTTTACCTTTATGCACACAATAGTAAACGAAAGACAGCAATAGCTAAGAACATAAAAATGTTCCCTTCTCAATCTATCAATCCTATGATTTGCAAAAACCACCTCAAAATAATGCAAAGTCACATGAAACATAATTTAAAAAAGAATAAAAAAGTATCCAAATTATATCAATGTAAGTCAGGCTCAATCTAAAGTAAATTATTCAGCTCTGGTGACAATTTTTTTTAATTTATTAATACCTCTGTAGTGCAACATTATCTTTTATTATCTTTTTAATTATCTCGTGATAACATTATTTACCCATAAGACACATGGATATCTAATTCAGAAAGAGACTGAATGTTCTCAGGCAGCCAGGGTTATTTACTACAACAGTGCTCATCCTAGGAAAAGGCTGGACACAGCCTAGAATCCATTGATAAAGGAATGTATCAATACAGTGTTTTACACAACACAGAAATAAGGAGTAATAATCTGCTTGGGACTAGAGGGAATCAATCTTGAATGCTGATATGATTTGGGTACCTTTTTCTTCCCCCATGTTTTGTTTCTTTGTTTTGAGATATGGCCCCAATCTATACCTCAAGCTGGACTGGAACTCACTCTGTAGCCAAGGAAATCTTTCATCTCAGCTCCTGAGGGCTGGTATGTAAGTCCAAGCCACTTATTTATCTACATATCTGACTTTTCTTCATGCCAGAACACTATACTGGAATTTGAATCTTAACTAAGTAAAATCCAAATCTGAACAAAAAAGGAAGAGAAAGGAAATATAAAGAGATGAAAAGTCATCGTGGTACATGCTTTCAATCTCAGTACTAGGGAGGCAGAGGCAGAGGCAGGCAGATCTTTGTGAGTTTGAGGCCAGCCTGGTCTACAGCGAGAGTTCCAGTATAGGCAAGGCTAAAACAGAGAAACCCTGTCCTGAAAAACAAAACAAAAAAGAAAAGAAGAAAGAAATGAAAGTGTGAGAACAGAGAAACTGGAGTTAGCATGAGACAAACACTGGCAAGAAAAAGCCCTCAGCAACAATGAAGGTTTAGGCATGTGACACAGGATTAACTGTCATAAGGCAATTCAAAAATCTCACTGGGGTTCTGTGTGAATTACAAACCACACGTATTTCACTATTTTTACAAGATATACTCTTTCCAAGATTTAACCAATACAAACTTGCTAAGATACAGGATCATCAAATGACACAGTCATCAAATATGTACAAATTTTTAAGTATTTCAAAAAATTTACTAATGTTAGCTTGGCATAATGGCTCATGCCTGTAACTCTAGCATGTGAGGCCGAAGCCAACAACTATCCCAAGTTCCACGCTGGACTACACAGTGTATTCAGGACAGCCTAGGGTACAGAGACCCAACAGTACACAACTGTAATCCTATCCAACAGGAGAGAGACCCGGCACAAATTCGAGGCTACCTGGTCTTCTAGTCAGCCAGGTATTGAGATCTTGTATCCA